CTAGGCCAGCCTTGGCTTGGCTACAGGTCTTGTGTGTTTTTTTGAGACAGAGTTTCTCTGTATATAGTCTAGGCTGTTCTAGACTCACTTTGTAGACAAGGCTGGCCTCAAGCTCACAGAGATCTGCCTGCCTCTGCCTCCTGGGCACTGGGATTAAAGGTGTGCCTCCATGCCAGGTAGTAAGCCCTAATATTAAAAACAAAAAACAATTTTTACTCTTCTTTTAATTTTTTTCCTATTTAAACCTGTTTATATGTTACAAATGTATCACTTCTCGGCCAGGAATTTCTCTGCATACTTAGAATAATATGTAACAAACAAAATAGACTAAGGGCCTTACCCTTTGTAAGGGGCTGGGTCTATTTCTAGTTCATTGAATTAGAGTACTTGCCTAGCATACATGAAATCCTGAATTTAGTCTCCATTACCCACCAGTTCCCCCCGGCCCCACCCAACCCAGAACAAAGGAAAAAGCACAGCTTTAATGGAAAGCAGAATGAAAGGGTTGCAGTTAAATCGGCAAAGTAGGAGCAGATCAGCTTATGAAAGAGGCATTGAAGACTTTTTTCTTTAGGAGTGAGAATTGAATCTAGGGTCTTACGCATACTAGACAAGTGCTCCACTGAGGTACACCCCCAGCTCTCTACCCCTAATTTGAGATGGGGTCTCTTATATCTGAGGTTAAATTGAATTTATGGTGCAAATGAAGATGACTTCTGATCCTGCTACCCTCAACCTCCTGGGTGCTGGGGTTACATGCATTAGTCACCATGCCTGGATTATGTAAACAGGGCTTCTTCAATACTAGGTAGGCATTCTGCTGACTGAGCAGCCCCAGTCCCCTCCAATCCTAAAAAATGTGTGTGTGATGTGTGTATGTGAGTATGGACACACATGTTCACATTAGGGTGTTTGTGTGGAGGTCAGAGTATATGTGTGTCATGAATGTGTATGATACATGCATGTGAGTATGGGCACATGTGTTCACATGGTGCTTGTGTGGAGGTCAGAGCATGTGTGTGTCATGAATGTGTGTATGATACATGTGTTGTATGTGTGTGTATGTTCATGTTGTGCTTGTATGGAGATCAGAGTATAATTTCTGGTGCTGCTCTTTGCCTTCTACCTTGTTTGAGAAGGTTCTCCTGTTTGCTGCCGTGTCCACCAGCCAGCTGCCCCACCCTGGCCCGTGAGCTTCAGGGAGTCTCCTGTTTCTGCCTGCCATCTCTCCTGCTAGCTCCCTTTTAGGAGCATTGGAATTTCAGACACATGCTGCTTTACCCTCTGAACCATCTCCCTAACCTACCTCTAGCCCTTTTTAAGAATTTTCTTTGAAAAGGGATCTTGGTAAACTATTCAGACTGGCCTCAAATTTGATATCCTCCTGCCTCAGCCTCCCCAGTGTTGGGATTAAAGGCCCTACCACCACATGTGCCACCATGCTGGAGAGCTTAAAGACTTTAAATTTTTAAAAAATGTATCCTGTGGCTGTATACTGTCCAGGGCACATGTCATGGTGTGAGCATGTGCATGTGTGCGCATGCATGTGTATGTGCGTGCCTGTAAGTCAGAACAATTCTGGCATGCTGTCCTTTGTGCAGTGTCTGGGGACTGAGCACAGGTTGTCAAGCTTGTGCAGCAAGTACTTTACCCACTGAGTCATCTTTGCCCAGTTCAAAGTCTTTAAAAGGGTTTATTTTAATTATGTGTATGTTTGTGTGTGGGCATATGCAGGTGGCAGTGGAGTCAGAGGTGTCAGATCCTTCCGAAGCTGGAGTCACAGGCAGTTGTGAGTCCCCTGACATGAACACTGGGAATCTCACTCCAGTTCTCTGCAACAGAGCACTATACACACTCTTAACTGTTGTGCCATATCTGGCTCCCCAATTCAAAAACTTCAGAAGGCAATGGGGTTAACCCTGGGAGAATGTTTTCGATAGAGCAAATGGCTGGTGCTAATAAGTCCGGTATGTTTGAGGAGCAGCATGGAGACAGGTATGGCCAGAATGGGATAAAAAGCAAGTACTAGAGGGCTCGGTAGGATATGAAGGCAAAACAGTGGGCGTGAGGGAATTGCTGTCTCATGGGCTCTATTAGGCATAGTAAGTTGTGCTTTTATTCTGTAGGTGCCAGGAGCCATTTTAACATTTTCTTTTAGTTTTTGTTTTGGTGGTGATGGTGTTTTTTTTTTTGTTGTTGTTTGTTTTTTGTTTTGTTTTTTTGAGACAGTATTCTGGGTAGCCCTGGCTGTCCTGGAAATCATTATGTAGACCAGGTTGGCCTTAAAGAGATCCTGCTGCCTCTGCTTCTCAAGCGCTAGGATTAAAGGTGTGTGCCACCGAGGCTGGTCTTACTCCCATTTTAATAGAATGACTAAGATTGCTGTTCTTAGAACGACGTCTGAAAGGCCATGATACAGTCAGTACAGTTAGAAAGGACAGATACTGATCACATCAGGATGGTGGCTTTGCAATTAGGAAGCCACTGAGACCTGGTATCCTCTGAGGGTGGATCTAGTAGGAGTATCTACTGGAGGTTAGGAGAAAGACAAGAGAATTCAGAGTGACTCTTAGGTTTTGATGAGAGCACCTTTGAAAACAGAGGTGAGGATGGGACAGCTTATAGGTACAAAGGGATTTAGTGAGAGGGAGAGGGACTCTTGTTTGCTCCTGTTGAGTTTTCCTAGGGTGACTAGGCTGGTGATATGTGAGCCTTACAGTTAGTAAAAGAACAGAGGCCTGAGTCTTCACTGCAAAACTAAGAGAGTAGGTGAAGTCAGAGAAACAGGAAGGTGAGGGAGAGTGGTGCTTAGGGATAAATGATGGAAAGAGTATATCAAGGAGATTTAACAATTTCTTTCCACCTCCTAGAGCAGTGGTTCGTTCTACAACCCCTTTGAGGGACTGAATGACCCTTTCACAGGAGTTGCCTAAGACCATCTGCATATCATGTATTTGCGTTACAGTTCATAACTGTAGCAAAATTACAGTTATGAAGTAGCATGGAGAATAATTTTACAGTTGGGGTCACCATAACATGAGCTGTGAAAGGGTTGCAGCGTTAGGAAGGCTGAGAACCACTGTCATTGTGATGGTAATTATATAATGTGCTTGGGAACCAGTGCTTTTCTTATCATGTATACTGGGGTTCTTGGTTTGCTAAAAAAAAAAAAAGAAAAAGAAAAAGAAAAAGAAATGTGGAGCAGTAGTAGTTCATGCCTTTAATCCCAGAATTTCGGAAGCAGAGCCAGGTGGGTCTTTGTGAGTTTGAGGACACCCAGGGCTACACAGATTAAAACTAAACAAACAACCCAGGTTTTAGATAGTCCAGACTGGCCCCAAACTCCTAGTGGAAGCTAAACTCCTGCCTTTTATTTTATTTTTATTTCTTATTTTATTTATTTATTTATTTATTTATTTATTTATTTATTTATTTATTT